CAGCCTGAACCGTTGATACGAGGCAGGATGGATCCATGCTTTCATGTTGTTTACGTCAAAGTCTGACACGACCATCTGAATGTCGCAGCAACCAGTCTGCCCATTCTCCTGTAACCTCTGACATCAACAAGTCATTTGCATCCTCACAACTGCCGCTCACTGGATATTTTCTCTTTTTCAAACCATTCTCTGTAAACCCTAGAGATGGTTGTGTGTGAAAATCCCAGTAGATCAGCAGTTTTTGAAATACTCAGACCGGCCCGCATGACACCAACAACCATGCCACGTTCAAAGTCACTTAATTCTCCTATTTTACCCAAGCTGAAGCTTGAACTTCAGCAAGTCGTCTTCCCCACGTCTACATGCCTAAATGCATTGAGTTGCTGCAATGTGATTGGTTGATTAGACATTTGTGGTACCAAGCTATTGAACAGGTGTACCTAATAAAGTGGCCGGGGTGTGTATACCAGAAGTGTGTGAGGTCATTTTTTTAGGTCATTTTAGCTACAAGTGATTTATCTCTAGATAAAGAGAATGTGGGAGTATTTGGTTTTCTTTTTCTCCTTTGGCTTCCAAGTGGTCTGCTTATGGCTTCCTCCTTTTCTCCCTGCAACTTACATGGGTGACACCTATATGATTAAGGTACAGCGGTATATGATATATATTACTATTGGTGGTATGTTCCAGTTCGGGCCTAGCCTTTTAAAACTGTCCCTCCGTAGGCCGGTTCTCTTCTTTGTGCTCTGGCTGGACCCGCATGAGGGCATGAGGGAGGGGGGTATTTTGGAGATGTGGGGTGGGGGGGTGAGACCTGGCTCTCACCGGGAGCCCCAAGTCTCGTTCAAATGATCAAGACCTGGGTCACCTGATCACTGTAATAGCCTCTGATTGGCTATCACAGTGATCAGTCACTGTGCAGCCCACCCCTGTGTTTTCTTTCTCTCTATGAATGGAGAGAAAGATAAAATTGGAGTTGATTTACTAAAACTGGAGAGAGCAAAATCTGGTGCAGCTGTGCATGTTAGCCAAACAGATCAATAGTGATGCAGCGCTAAATAATAATGGTAAAAATATTCTCATAAAAAACAACTCATCAAAGGCACTAAATAAAATTCATGAATGGACAATAAATAAATGATATACATATATTTATATCATTCATTTCTTTATATCATTTATCTATTGTCCATTCATGAACTTTATTTAGTGACTTTCGATGAGTTGTTTTTTATGAGAATATTTTTACCATTATTATTTAGCGCTGCATCACTATTGATCTGTTTTATTGAGAGTTTATCTTGGATACTTTTGTGCATAGCTGCTCCCCCTCTTTCTAGCGCACTCACATAGCTTTACCTTTATATCATGTTAGCCAATCAGCTTCTAACTTCAGCTTGTTCAATTAAGCTCTGACAATAAAACCTGGAAGCTGATTGTTTTCTATGCAGAGCTGCACCAGATTTTGCACTCTCCAGTTTCAGAAAATCAACCCCCTTGTATTTGTTTTCTCCTTGCAGGGGAGAAAGATGTAAATAAAGAAAGTGTTATAAAAAAAACAAATAAATAGAATAAAAAAAAAGTAAAAAATAAAGAAAAAAATAGCTAGATAAAGGCTTGATCTAGGTCACATCATCCCCCAGATGAAGCTACGCAGTCCCTGTGGCGCAACGTGTTGGGGAGGGGCAGTGACGTCACCGCACATCTGATACGGCGAGTACTGACAGCATAGGGCACACACCCTCTAGTCTCATCTTCACCGCAGGCAGCGGTTCTTTTATACTGAAAAGCGATATTTTTTTTATAACACGTGAGTGCATTATGGAAGCAGATTAAAGGCTTGATATATCTCTGGAATAAGGCACCATATCTTCTCTTTTTTCTTGCATGATCTTTGCGAGGAGCATTCAGTGGTTGAAACAAGGAGTGGATAAAAGGAGGGGTTATCCCTCACAGGCACACAGGCTAATTACAAAGCTGCAAGATTGAAGCATATCACTCATGGAAAGGAGAGTATCATCTGATTTGGTTGGAACACTCTAGCACTTTTGCAATTGGAACTTTGAATATAATTTAATATTGATTATTTTTTATATATATTTTATATTTATTTATTTACATTTTTTATATATTTTCATATGAATTAGCACTTGGCTCACTGATGAAATAGTGGCACATATATATTATTATTGCACAGTGATTAACAGTTTATAGTACTAATTACTCAGCATTGGAGATTATTTTGTATATATATTATAAGCACTAAGCACTTTTTAGTCAATATTTGAGCGCGGTTATTATTTGATCAGTTGTCATTAAACGCACATCCAGGGAGAGTGGGCAGGTAAACCAGCGATCCAGTATATATACGTATTTGCATATTCTGGTGGCTCACAAGCACATACATTTTAATAATTGATCTAGGTCATTGTCAGGGTTAATGTTAATGTGAAGATAAAGGTTAAAGGTCAGGGTTAGTATATTGTAGGTAGAATTTTTTTTAAAAAAAACCGCCTTCTTTAAGTATCAGTGTCAGTGTATTTTAGTTAGGATAAAAAAACAAAATATTCACTATTGTTTCTGGGCCCCACTACGGGAACATACAACATATGTAGTATTAAAAATATATTTTTTACAATTTTGGACCACTTTTCCTCTGATGATAAAAAAGCAGAGGATATTTATTACCCTTTACACCAAATGAAAGTTCAATTTTTCCTGAAAAAAAAACAAGGCATGATCCACCTGGATACACAAAGTAGTCACAATGATATGTACAGTTTGAATAACACAAAGCTGTAAAATTTGGCCTTGGCATTGAGGTTTGTTTTACGCTCAGTAAAGAAATGGTTTAACATGAAAAAATATGCTTATGACCAGTGATGGGCTGAACACCCCCGTGTTGGAAATATCTACAAATATATGTTGCGCTCCTAAATACTTCTCAATAAATAATAATTAAATTATTACCATTAAATTAATTCAAATTATGATACAAATAACTAATAAAAGTGTATAAATACCAAAAAATATTTAAATAGATAGTTTTAACAAATCAATCTCCTCCAAATAAATATCAAAATAATTCCACATGAAATACTCCTCTAAAAAAAAAAAAAAAAAAATTTTTCAAGTGCTCAGACATCTTTTTTTTTTTTTTTTTTTTTTTAAAGAAGTATTTCATGTGGAATTATTTTGATATTTATTTGGAAGAGATTGATTTGTTGAAACTATCTATTTAAATATTTTTTGGTATTTATACACTTTTATTAGTTATTTGTATCATAATTTGAATTAATTTAATGGTAATAATTTAATTATTATTATTTATTGAGAAGTATTTAGGAGCGCAACATATATTTGTAGATATTTCCAACACAGTTGTAGTTATGTGTTTCATGTTTGCGATCCTCTAGTAATTATCACACCTGTGGCTCGCAAGTTACTCTGATTCATCTATACCTGAACACCCCCCTGTTATGTTCGCAGTCAAACATTCGAACCTAATGAAAGTTTGACCGTGAACTTAGAACCGGGACAATTCTCGGGAGCGGGAACCGGGACAAATCACTAAGCGGTAACTTACCACATCAGAGTATGCGGTAAGCATAGCATTAAAAAAAAAACTACTAAAATACTGCATGAGTTATTTTATTAAGTTATGTGATATTTTAGTAGTGAAAACATGCTTTAATGTTTTAGCTGTCAGTGGAGTTCCCTGCAGGCAGCTGAATGTAAAAAGTATTGCGAATAATTATAAATTTTGCAAAAAAAAAAACGTGGGGTCCCCCCCCCATCCATACCAAGCCCATTGGGTCTTGTATGGATTTTGAGGGAAACCTCCACTCCAAAATATTTTAAAAAATGGGTTCCCCAAAATCCATACCAGACCCTTATCTGAGAATGCAGCCCGGCAGGTCAGGAAAGAGGGGGGGGGATGAGCGTGTGTCCCCTTCTTGAACCATACCAGGCCACATGCCCTCAACATGGGGGGGTTGCTTTGGGACAGAGCCCCCCCCCCACAAAGCACCTTGTCCTAATGTTGATGGGGACAAGGGCTTCTTCCCCAAAACAGTGGCACTGGTTGTGAGGGTCTGCAGGCAGGGGGCTTATCAGAATTTGGAAGCCACCATTAATAAGAGCGCCCCTAGATCCCGGGCCTTACGTTCAACTCAAACATCAAGCCCAACACTACTTATGACTTAAGCTGGCTATGCACTAGTAGATTGTCAATCAAAAATTTGAAAGGAAATTTATATAAAAATATGTATGAAACTTCTCATTAACCACTTGGTAACCGCATTATATTTATTTATTTATTTCAGGTACTTATATAGCGCCATCAATTTATGCAGCACTTTACAGATATATTGTACATTCACATCAGTCCCTAACCCCCAAGGGGCGTACAATCTAAGGACCCTACTCACATTCATACATACACATACTAGGGACAATTTAGACAGGAGCCAATTAACCTACCAGCATGTCTTTGGTGTGTGGGAGGAAACCAGAGTATCCGGAGGAAACCCACACAGGCACAGGGAGAACATGCAAACTCCAGGTGGTGGTGCTGTGGTGGGGATTACTAACCAGCGACCCTAGTACTGCCAGGTGGAAGTGCTAACCATTTAGCCACTGTGCTACAGCACGGTTACCCAGTTCTGGGAGGGCATCATTTGACGTCCTCCCAGAATGCGCCCTCCCGTGCTCCCCCAGGACTGCGTACCTGGTGATCTCCATGATCGCTTTGTCCTAAGGACACAGCTGATCACATGATGAGGTAAAAGGCCAATCACAGCAGCCTTTTACCACGTCCAATGTCACAGCAGATCATGGAGTAAATACAGTTGTCAGTTATTGACAGCACTTTCCTCGCACTATCACAGCATGAGGAAAGTACTGCTGATAAGCAGAAGCTGTCACAGAGGAGATCAGTACTGCTGTGCCGCCCGCAGTGCCTCCAACCAGTGCCCCCCAGCAGTGCTGCTCAGCTGTTGCACTCATCAGTGCTCAGCAGTGCTGCCCATCAGTGCTGCCCATCAGTTCCTAGCACTGCAGGCAGTCAGTGCCATCAGTTAGTGTCACCCATCAGTGCCACCTATCAGTGCCCATTAGTGCTGCCTATCAGTGACCATCATTGTTGCATATCACTGCAGCATCATCAGTGCCTCCTCATCAATGCCCACCAGTGCAGCCTCATCAGTGTAACCTATCAGTTCCCATCAGTGCTGCCTATCCATGCCACCTCATCAGTGCCCATCAATGCTGCCTATCAGTGCCCATCAGTGCAGCCTCATCAACGCACATCAGTGAAGGAGAGAAATTACCTGTTTGCAAAATTTTATAATAGAAACAAAGAAAAACTTTTTTTGTTTATAGCGCAAAAAAATAAAAACACCCAGTGGTGATTAAATACCACCAAAAGAAATCTCTATTTGTGTGAAAAAAATATAAAAATTTTATATGGGTACAGTGTTGCTTGACTGTGCAATTGTCATACAAAGTGTGACAGTGCTGAAAGCTGAAAATTGGTCTGGGCACAAAGGGGGTATAAGTGCCTAGTCGGCAGGGGTGGACTGACCATTTGGAAACTCGGGCATTGCCCGAGGACCTGGGGTCAGTAGAGGGCCCCATGAGATGCCCCTGGTACCTTTTTCATAGGTTTTTTTTTAGTTTGGGCAAGGACACAGGGGCCCCATGATTCCCTATTGCCTGGGGGCCCCATGAGTTGTCAGTCTGCCCCTGCTAGTGGGCAAGTGGTTAAATTTGACAGCAAGATGGATGTTGTTCAAAAGCAGTTAAAAATTGCACTTTGTAATATTTGATTTTGGATCAAATGGACTTGATTCAATGAAAACCACATATTCTGTTAGAAATGTGTTTGTTCATAAAAAAATATTCTGTCCTGCTCCTTCAAAATGAAAATTCAAACTGTAATTAAAAAACAAATGTCAATTAGACACCAATAATGATTAGAAAATCAAATGAACATTCCTAAAATAAAAACTTTTCAAAAGAAATTGTGCCAATGTATAGCCAGCTTAAGTTTGCTTTAAGAACAAAGTTGATATCAGATAAGTAGAGGTAGGATTCATTGTTGAAGACTCCAAAGCAATTAGAAAGACTCAATAGTCTGTTAGAGATCAAACAAACCTTTTTGTACTTAGCACACAGTACCTAAACTACTCTCAGAGTTTAATTTTAACAACTAGAGCTTTTTCAGGGCAAGTTTGTTGGGAAATGTCCAAGCCTGTGAAGTTTAAATTTATGAGAAAAAAAAATCTATAGGCAAAAATAAATTGAACCGTACATCAAGAAATGCTGTTGGACAAACAAAATATCAAGCTTGTCAGTGAATATATTATCTTCCACCATCCATTATTGATATCCTTTCATAACTGTCAGGATGGATCGTCTATAAATTTCGGAAAAAAAAAGCAACTCGTTTTTGATTATTTTTTTGTTGTCCAATTTTAGCCACTGTTATATCCTTAAGCAGATTAATTTTTATGATATTTATAGAACAACATTTTTCTCTAGCAGACTTCCTAATAGAAAAAAAAGATAGTTGTTTTATGTCTTTGTTTGTTATCTTTTATTAAATTGTATTGAAAAGTTACAAACATTTCTGTATTATTGACAACAATGTCCAATATAAAGAATAGTACAAAATATCGTACAAACGATGAAACTCGTACAATAAATGCGATCAAAAAGTGCCAAAATATATAGAACATAGATTGGCAGTTCCCCCAACAAACATATATATATATATATATATATATATATATATATATATAGAGAGAGTGAGAGAGAGAAATAAGTATTTGATCCCCTGCTGATTTTGAATGATTGCCCACTCACAAAGAGAGACACCAAGAGACAGAATAGCAACAAAAAATTCAAAAGAAATCCATGTCTAACAAATGATGACTGATTTGAATGTTCATGAGGGAAATAAGTATTTGATCCCCTTCACAAAAACATGACTTAGTACTTGGTGGCAAATCCCTTGTTGGCAATCACAGAGGTCAGACGTTTCCTGTAGCTGGCCACCAGGTTTGCACACATCTCAGGGGGGATTTTGGCTGCTCCTCTTGGCAAATCCTCTCCAAGTCATTAAGGTTTGGTGGCTGATGTTTGGCAACTCAAACTTACAGCTCCCTCCACAGATTTTCAGTCGGATTAAGGTCTGGAGACTGGCTAGGCCACTCCAGGACCTTAATGTGCTTCTTCTTGAGCCACTCCTTTGTTGCCTTGGCCATGTGTTTTGGGTCATTGTCATGCTGGAACACCCATTCATGACCCATTTTCAATGCCCTGGCTGAGGGAAGAAGGTTCTCGTCCAAGATTTGACAGTACACTGCCCTGTGCATCGTCCCTTTGATGTGGGGCAGTTGTCCTGTCCCCTTAGCAGAAAAACACCCCCAAAGCAGAATGTTTCCACCACCATGTTTGACAGTTGTGATGGTGTTCTTGGGGTCATAGGCAGCATTCCTCCTTCTCCAAACACGGCAAATTGAGTTGATACCAAAGAGCTCAATTTTGGTCTCATATGACCACAACACTTTCAACCAGTCCTCCTCTGCATTATTCAGATGTTCAGTGGCAAACTTCAGATGGCCTGAACATGTGATTTCTTGAGTAGAGGGACCTTGCGGGCACTGCAGGATTTCAATCCTTTTCGGTGTAGTGTATAACCAATTGTTTTCTTGGTACCTGTGGTCCCAGCTGCCTGGAGATCATTTAGATTATCCTCACGTGTAGTCCTGGGATGATTCCTCACTGTTCTCATAATCATTGACACTCCACGAGGTGAGATCTTGCATGGGACACAAGACCTAGGGAGACTGTCAGTTTTGTGTTTCTTCCATTTGCGAATGATTGCACCAACTGTTGTCACCTTTTCACCAAGCTACTTTGGCGATAGTTTGGTAGCCCAGTCCAGTCTTGTGTAGGTCTACGATCTTGTCCCTGACATCCTTGGACAGCTCTTTGGTCTTTGCCATGGTGGAGAGTTTGGAATCTGATTGTTTGATTGCTCCTCTGGACAGGTAAAACATGAGATTAGCAGCACTCTCTTTAAGAGACTGCTTCTAATCTCAGCTTGTTACCTGTATGAGAGACACCTGGTAGCCAGAAATCCTGCTGAATGATAGGGGATCAAATACTTATTTCCCTCATGAACATGCAACATATATGTATCAATTAAAAGAAGAGTCAAAAAATTAAATCAGTGGTCCTTGGGGAAAAGGTGTTTATTATTGGTACAATCTGTTTTAGAGTTATGCAGTATATGAAAGTTTTTCTATAAGCATTATAAAATCAATTCTGGATTTAATCTATGTTAGAGGAACTACTGGGGACTTCCAATGAAGTGCTATAAACCCATTGAACAGCAAAACATATCGTATTCATTTGTTTTTCTACTACAGGGGTGGCCAACCTGCGGCTCTCCAGCTGCTGCAGGACTACAAGTTCCATCATGCCTCTGCAAGTCAGTAACTTCCCATCTTTGCAATGCCTCATGGGAAATATAGTTCCACAACAGCTGGAGAGCCACAGGTTAGCCACCCCTGTTCTAGTAGGAGGGTAACCCCCACTGAGTGGGGCGAATATTAGCCATAAGAGGACTACCTATCAAGTTACCAAAGAATGTTTGAAGTTTTTGCCAAACTATGTGTACTTGATCACCTGACAAAAATATGTGTGGAAGAGTCCCAGGAAAGGTACAACAACTGAAACAATTGAAGAGAAACTGCCTGTATGGAGAAAAACATCACAGCAATCCAGGATCTCGTAATGGCAGACAGGCGTGTGACAGAACGTTTCATCGCAGAGAAAATGGGCATATCCCAGGAATGTGTTGGACACATTTGAACAGTAGGGCTGGACATGCACAAGGTGTCAAGTCGGTGGGTCCTGAGAATGTTGACTGTTGAAAACAAACGTGACAGACAGCAGGTATTGGATAACAGCACGTTTGCTCACTTTCTCCATCTTTTAGACAATGATGACCTTCTGCTCTTCAGTCTTCAATAACTGAAACAAAGAAAAAACTATTTGTGAGAAATTTGGTATGGAACCTTGCAAAGATATGTACTATGAGTAGCAACAATAAAATTGGGCTAAGACAAATGTTTCATGGGTAGGCCGAGAACATTTCAGTCGCCCCTCGTACAGTATATCATATGTGAATTCCTTCACTGTTCAATTTTTCACATGAATTTAAATGTGGACCAAGCCAGAACTCAACATGTTTCATGGAAAGCTTCATTGGAAGTACAAAGGCAAGGACATCAAAATACATTTGTACATATTATATGCCATGGGAGTCAAACCACTAATCCAACTTGCACACAAAGATATACAATTCATATGCCAAAAAGACTTGTGTCAGGAATGGACTCACCACTGGTGGTGGGACTCACCTGCCGTGTGGGCTGCAGTACCAGGGCTGGCCAGCGGGTGCTCTCAGCAGCCAGAAGCTCACTCCTGCAAGCAAGTCATCACCTGAGGCTGATTGCAGGAGGTGTATTTAAGGAGTGGCCAGGCCTGCAGTTAGTGCCTTGGTGTATTGTTTCCCTTGGCCCCTGTATCCTGATCCTGCCTGCTTGAATCCTGACTCTGCACGAACTCTGCCTGTACCGACCTCGGCTATTCCTGACTACTCTTCCGCCTGCACCTTGTACCTTGCCTGCCCGTTTGCTACCGACCCGGCCTGCCCGACTACGTTTAGTATTGTTCTTATTGTTATCTGTTGGAGGTTTGGTTTGTTTGCACTGTGTTTATGTTTAGTCTTGCACTGCGTTTATGTATTGTTTAGTCTTTAATAAATGGTAATGTTTATACTACACCTGAAGCCTGCGTTTCCCTATGTCGGTCCACACATCTCTGGTCATACCTGGAGCCCTGACAACTTGCTTCTTGCCTAGTAGGTCCAGCTGCTGGTTAGAGAAACTGACAGAGGGGACGTCCTGAAAAGGAATACCTACTCTTTTCCTCCTCAACAAGTATCTCTCGCTAATACTAGTCCTTTTCTCTACCTAGAGAGCTGAGTTTTCTCCCTAGCTTTCTTCCACACTGTGGGTACACCCAGTGATGCAAAATATTTTATTTATATAATTCTGTGCCAAGATGACCCCCAAATCTAGCAAATTCTGCTCTCCCCCCAAGATAGCTACCTGGACCCCATAGCAATTCATCCTTAATGGTCTCTGTTAGGAACTCAGTGTTATGCCGACTCTTTCCAATCCAACCATTCTAGAAAATACAAAGTACTTTGGTAATAATGCAAGTCAGACACCTAA